TTCGAACGCCCTGGCTTGCCATGGCACATACTTTCTGTTTCCGTGGATACTTTCAAAAGCAGTGGGTATTTCGAGTAGGGGGTAGGTTTTCCCAATCCCAGTTACCAGAGGTCACGTAGCGAGTTGGTGGCTTGAGTTGGTTGGATTGGATTTGAACCAGGGGCAATGGGAAACGCTCCCTAACCTCCAAGCCACCGAGCTCTAAGCCACGAGGGGAAGCTGAACAGGTCTGCCGAAAAGATCCTTTCAGGGTGGTTCCCTTGAACCACCCTACCCGCCAAATACCAACGCTTGTTTAGTGGGAATCATGTCAACCCTTTCCTTTGTATTATGTACCATGGAAAACCAGGTTTTTCAAAACAAGGACCAAAACAGGAGGGTACTTGGAGTAGCGGGTATACTGGCTAGGTCCCCCAGTTGCGCCCTTTTACCTTTTTTTTGGTTGGGAGGGTTCCCCTACTCAAATAGACAAGACCGAGAAAAAAGATCGGGTACCAACTTCTTCCAACCTCTCAAATCTGGAGGACCTAGCCTTGATGGTTGGGACAAAACATCCGCCATGGCGTAATTATGTTTCAGGAACTCATCAGCAACATGTTGCCTTTGTTTGTTGGAGAGGACCTAGCTGGTGAATGGAGTCACTGGGTACTTCTCTCCCTGTTTGCCGATTGGGAACCATGGGTGCGTGGCAAGCGATTGGGATCCCACGCCATGAAGCTATTCAGATGTAGCCGTCGCGCACATAGCGCTCATGGTCCTTGCTTGGGGACTTCCATTTGTTTGCTTTCCTTTTTTCCGTTTGAACACATATATGTGTTCATTCCACCTGTTGGTTTTAAATGGAATCTATAACTACTTCCATTTGCTTACGACTTGTGTTTTTGGTGTTTTTTCTCACCTGTTGGTTTTAAATGGGATCTATTACTATTGGATTTGTTGATTTTTCCCAGTGTGCGAAACAGCAAATGGAAGGGGATGCCTTCATTGCACCTGGGTGAAGAGGAAATGGTCATGTTTGGGTTCTTTTTCGTGTGTATGTGTAAAGTGGGCCCCAAATTTTGAGGCCTTGAGCTCCTAGTACCGTAAAGAGACACACCTCTAGGGGCTGCACATCTGGCTTGGAGCAAAACCTGCGGGCACCTTTCTCGGTGCTTAAAACTATTTTGACAATTTGTGCTCCTACCCGGCCATATGTATACACAAATACATATATATATATATGTGAACATATATGGTTCTCCCCCTCCATGGTCCCTGGTTTTGCCATCCCCAGAAGGCAGTAAACCCAGGGTCCATGGGAGGGGGTGCATATATATATATATATATATGTATATGCTACGCGCAGATGGAGAAGTTGATCAAGGAGTGCGAGGCGGAAGAGGCTGAGCTGAAGCTTTCCGAGTTCGAGGCGGGGAACCGGGGAAGCCCGTGCCAGCTTGGCCCTGTGGATGGTTGCGAAATCCATTTCGCACCACTTGGAAACCATGGTTGAGACCAAAACGTTTGTTGGTATTTACATGGGAATCGAATCATTCCAGGGTTTCTTAGGTGGTGCAGGATTTGCTCCATCGAAAGTATGAACCCTATGAACCCCCCCCCCCCCGCGTCATGAACCTCCAGAAATGCCGGGCCCCTGCTTGGTTCTTAGGGCATGTCTATCTCCAAGTTCATGAGTTCCTGTTTTGTGTTGTTTTAGGGTATGATGTCTATCGCTGACTAGACACGGAGGTGACAGTACGTACCTTGAAGTTTTTTGGGATGTACCTTGAAGTTTTTTGGGTATGATGTCAATGGCCGACTGGAAGTGGAGGTAACGTATGTACCTTGAACAAGAAGGTTTTGCCAGATATACCTTGACAAAAAAAAAGCGGAGTATGGGGTGGGAGCGAAGAAACAGGGGCGCCCCCTGCCTTTTTGGTGGGTACAGGGTATGTGTTGCAACCACCTTCATTACGGTATTGGATTCTCAGATATTTGAGTTCATAACCTGTTGTTTTCACCCCCCGCAAATGGGTCTTAGGGCTTTAGGTTGTGTATGTGAGTGCCAACGGAACACCCCTTCAATTTAATACATTAATACTTAGGGATGGCCACGGTAGTAATTGTCACAAAGAGGTTATTTTCCACAGCCACGAGCGGAGGCCAATTTTTGTGTTGGTCGATCCCCCCAATCGATCGTTTTGGGGCGCATAAAACCTAGTGCCCTTTCTCATCAACTTTTTTTGGGGAGGGTTCCCCTACTCAAATAGACTACAGAAAAAGGGTACTCTTATTCTAACCTTTCTACTGGAGAACCTGGAAACCATTAAACCTACTAAAAGGTCTAAAGACCCTTTGCTCGTTTGCGGGGGACAGCAACTCAGTTTCCTGGGTTCCCGCTATTCGTCCTGCGAGTTGGAGGCAGAACGGGAGGTCTCACCTGTTGTTCAAGAGGACCATGGGATTCTCATGAGGTTTGGTCAACAAAAAGTCATGACAGTCTGTGGTTCAATTGGAGGGACCACAAGGGGGCGAGCTCTAAAGTTCCCGGGAGACCCACCAAGTTTCGCATGGTCTCTTGGAACATGTGGCATGTTGACCGTGGCTATGGCCCAAGTGGCAAGCTTCCTTGGGTACTTATGGCCAGCTAGCTACAGATAGTTGTTAGACATGCTGTGGGTGGACGAAATCCTGCACCACCTAAGAAACCTTGGGATGATTCGATTGCTCTGTAAACACCAACAAACGTTATGTTTCAACCATGGTTTCATTTCGTGGTGCGAAATGGATTTGGTCCATCCACAGCATGCAAAGATTTGCTCTGCATAATTTCCCAAGTGACTATCCACTGCGCAGTTCAATTCGGCAGGCGCGCTGCGCCAAGAAGGCGAGCCAATACGAGGAGGGGAGTTGTCGCCCGCAGGTCAAGCCACTGGCTGGGCCCCAAATCTGTTCAACTTATCGGGAATACCAAAGTGGTTGGGGAGCGTTTTGGTGGACATCATTGAGATGAAAGTGAACGGATATCGTTGAGGTGGTGATACATGTCCACGAATCACTTTTCAGGCGGTTTCCTATTCAGATTCATAACCGACTCAAGGCAAAAGAGTCGTGGGGGGTTGACTTCAGATTGGCGCTCCAGATTTAGATTGGCAAGAGGGCTTTGTCAGCTTCACCCTGGTGGCTTAGAGCCTGCTGGTTTCAAGCTTGTGGTGGTTTCGCACTTCCGCAAGAACTAGGGGTCCCAAAGCCACCAAGCCACCAATTCACAGCTACCTGAGTTCCGGTTGGAAGTCAGCAGTTTTCCATGAATGGAAGCGGACTGGTTTCCTTTGGGCGAAGCACCCGGAGCACAATTCCATGATTGTCGGAAAGAGGATATATATATATATACATAGAGCGTGTTTGGAGGTGGTTGTTTTCTGATGGCAGTATGTCTTGGGGATTGTTTCAGGGGCAAACGAAGAGGACATCACCCGGTAGCGTAAAGAAAAATAGTAGGTTGCCCGGTCAACTGTAGGGGCATATTATGGTGTTCAACGGAGCCAAACAGATCAAAATCGGGTAAGTGAGGGTGAACAATCCCAACCCTGCATAGGTCAAGTAATCCCGAATTGGTGGTTTGGGTGGGTGGTTTGGGGATCTGAACCCTGGTTGTTGTGGGGTAAGTTGGAAACCCCTCTGTTGGAAGCAATCATCCGGGATCAATCTGACTGAATGCTCGATGTTCTCTCACATTTTGCCTCATGGTATAAATTATATGGGTTCGATGGGAACAGACACCCCGCCATTTCAACGGTCTGGATTCTCTACCCATTGGACAGACACCCCTCAATTTTGGGTAATGACAATCATTTCTCAAAGGGTTGGAAGGAGACTCCAGGTTGATGTCGCCTAAAATCTGGAAGGATCTTTGGGGAAGCTGTTTAGTTTTTCCTCAAGTTAAACTTTTAGCAGGGGATCTGAGGGCAGTCAAGGCATATATATATATACATTGTTTTAGGGTCGGATTGGAGATGGTTCATGACTCAACTCTCGCCCCGCGGATGCCGGTCATCCGGCCATCAGGAGCGCATAGCACGTCTGGAAGCGGAGATCGCGCGAAGGGCTGGCAGCTTGCAGTGCCGGCCTGAGAGGCCTTTGCGGTCTTTGCCTATCTGACGCGGATCCCCGAAAAAAGGAAACCACCAGTTGGATGGTTCGGGGTCAGTCCATTTCTCATTCCCTTCCTAACGTTGACTCCATGGTAATCAACCCCAGTTTATGAGAAAGGGGGGGTGTCCAACTGGGTGCCGCAAGGGGATTCCGTTAAAGGAAACCGTAGGGGATGGGGTTCTTGGTCATTCCAACTCATTCCGCACCAGCAAGTTATGGGCGTGTCTTCTGTTGGACCCCCGAAGTAGCGGCTCACTTTGCACTTTTTTGGTTTTGACCACCGAAACACGTGAGCCAAAATCAAACCCTGGGTAGCAAGGGGTGACTAAGGGATAATCCCAGCCACAAATAGTTGAGGCCACCCAATGTCCTTGCTTGGATTTGGGTAGACCATGTTAACTCTGATCTGTTTTGATTATGACTCACATGCTGTTTATACCTAAGGAAGGATTTGGAGCTTTCGAAGTCTGGGCTTCCAAAGCCAAGGCTTCGGGAGGTTTGCCCTTGGATTACCCGTGTTTTGGGCGTGGGGTTTTAACGCCCATACTCCAACGGTCGACGGTCTTGGCAATGGAGTTGACCGAAGTGCCCTTTGAAGAGTTCGGAAAGTGAATGTTTCCTGAGTTGCTGACAGGTACTCTGTGATGACAGGTACTCCGTGACCATACTGCGTGCTGACTTCCCTTTCGGGAAGCCCTTGTACCGGGATATTCGTGACTGTTGCCATCGCAAGCTTGCTTTCTTTAACGATCTCGAGAAGATACTAGTAAGATTATGTTGGACAATCCTTTCAAACCACTCCTATCATACTCCTTGTATACCTCAGTTCCGGCCCAAGCTAGTTCCAGGCATCCCGACTTGCGAACATGGGGAATGCAATAAGTACACCCGACGAGTGTGACGACTGCGAAGCACGCTGGGACTACAAATGCAAAGCCAATGTTCACTTCCACTGTGCCAAGCATTACTTCGATCGCTTGCAGCTGGGCACACTTCCGCATGGAGGTCCGCACTATTGGCAGAGCCGACAAGGTGAGGTGAAACTTCAGCCAGTGCCAGAGTTTCAGCAAGAAGCAAGTGACAGCAAGGTGAGGATGTCAGCAGAAATCCCTGCTCCAATCAGGAGTGCGGTTTTGAAATCCACCAGTAAGCAGCATATCCAAGATCGACTGAGTCAGGTTGGTCTTTCAGATACGGTGGACAAGGCTCGCATCGACAAGGCGCACGACGCCTGGTGGGTTTTGGGTTTGACCTTGAAAGATTGAACTGTTTGAGTTTGGACGTGGCTCTTTGCAAACTATTTGCCCACGTCACGCTCAAAGTGTATGTCCCTGGTCAAAGTATATATACTTATTATGTCCGCTTGCTGCTGAGGGTTCGTTTGACCAGCCGAGGACATCATCCCCAAGCTGCGTGCTGCGATTGCCAGTCAAAACCAAGAGAGTGTCAACAATTTGAGCAACGAGCTGATGGAAACGATGCCGAAGCAGGCTTCAGTCAAGAAAGTCAAGACGGAGGAAGAGTTGCTCCAGCAGATCCAGATTCTCGAAATGCTCCTCATTTGACCTCTGGATTCCGCCCCTTTTTTCAACTGATCGAAGTTGGAAGGGCGTCTCTCTAAAATCAAGCAGAAAAAGGAGGGGCGGTTCTTGTCGTTTGGTCCCATGCATCTTAGGCTGGATGACATTCTTGCAAGTCAAGAGCTTGATGACTACGACGCGCTGCTGCAGCACTGTGATGTGGACTCAGTGGACATGGACTCAGCTGAGGCTCAGCTGATTCAGCAGTATATGCGCCAAAACATGCGGGCAGGCTCGGAGGTCTTCGGAGCAGAGGTGTTCCGGGTTGCTCGCAAGGACTGGGTTGGGACGTTCTGACAAACAGCGGGGGTTGGAAACCCAACTGATTATAGAAGACTTCCCTTTTGAGTCCCCCCTTGCAATGCCCTTTAATCCTTTATGTGGGCTGCAAAAAGTCGCACACTGGCAAGGACGAGCAGGAGAATCCACGCTCCAACAACCAGGTACTCCTATGGCATGGATCAAAAAGCGCCAGCTTTGTTTCGATCTTGCGCAATGGCCTGCGCTTGCCAAAACACGCAACGCATGGCTGGGCATTCGGTCCTGGCATTTATTTCGCAGACATCACTAGCAAGTCACTGCAATATTGCGGGGACATGAGTGATTGCTTGCTTGCGCTGGCAGAAGTCAACCTTGGCGCCATGCATCCCACCCACACCCGTATCCAGGGACCTCCACGCGGTTGCGATTCAGTGTGGGCAGTAGGCCAGTATTGGCCTTCGCCAGAAACCTTTGAGTCAGGCGATTCCGAGCATGCAGTAATCCCAGGTTGCGACATCCCGATGGGACGCCCGAGCCCAGTCACCTTTGTAACAGCGAGGCCCAATATCAGTGACTCGCCTTCTGAGTTGGTGCGCCTCGAACTGTTTGGGGCCAGACGTCCTCTTTATCTCAATTAAGAAACGGGCAACAAGTCTTTTTGCCAGCCATCAGCAAGTAAGGTCACAATGAGTTCATCGTGTATGATGCATCTCGCGTGCGCCTGCGCTATCTCATCCGCGCCAAGGTCGTTTCCTCATCTTTGAAACAAAGCGACTCAGAGCTCCGTTGCACCCGCAACATCAAAGAGACAGAGACATATTACCAATACATGAAGGACATGCACGTTGACAAGGTCATTCGCTGGCAGTACTATCTTGGCAACTTTCAAGACGCTAGCACAAACCAACCTTATTTACCCTTTGATTGTCCCCATTTTGAGGCAAGGTTTGCCAAATATTAACCATTGATGTCCCTTTCTTTGTGCAACTGAGGATGGCAAGGCGCCTGGTTGGCACCCATATGATGATCATCTGCACCAGGAGCTTGAGCAACGCTATGTAGATGGCGACGAAGCCACGAAGGTCATGTCCGGCAGCCATGGCTACACCTACGAAGTGGATTTCGAAGGAATGAAGCAAACTAATCTGACACACCACAACCATACAGTTCGCAACATTCGCCGAGTTGAAGTAGACCAGTCAAGCTTGGGCACACCTGCAGATACTCCATGCTGCGTGATGTGACCGCATCCACCATGGAGCGTGTGTCGCAATGCCATGTACAGCTGGCAGTGCTGGGAGGTTCTTACCCTCATTCTCGCTCTTGCTGTGGTACATGCAAGACCAAGATCGAGGGATGACAGAAAGAACCTCACTTGCAGGGTATTGCCGCGCCTTCAGGTGCCTTTTCTGGTGGCAAGTCACAAGGTCTTGCCGGAGGTGCTGCTAATCTTAAACCCCGTCCTCCACAGTGTGCTTACGTGGGTAGGTGCGCCCTGCACGAAGGTGTAGTTGGTCGCGTATACGTACTATATTTATATACATGTTCTGGTCAATGGAACAATGGATAATCATGTGTACAGGGCATGTCCACAAACGCACTTTGCATGCAGCTGGGGGCGCGGGTCAACAGACCGTAGACGGCTGGGCAGCCAGCCACACTTTTAAGTTGCAGCCGCAAGAGGCGCGGCGACAGAGAGCAACGTGACCCATGCCTTACCCTTCTCCAAACAAGACAGGCACACTGGCTTTGACCAACCAATCATATTCAATATTTGTGTCACAAAAAAGTAGAAGACCCTTAACATGGGTACTTTCCCGAACGACACACACCCAATGTATTCCACCGACAACAGATTTGGCAACCCCTGGCCTGGTTTGTCAAGAGCACCATCCCTTGCTCCGTCAGATCAACATGGACCCAACAAGAGGGGGAACATGTTTTAAGTTCGATGTTGACTTAAAGGGGTACACCACTGTGTGCCATGGTCGCCAAGGGTTTGTTTCTTGCGTGACTGGGGATGGTCATCAGCTCTGGGGGAATTTGAACTGTCATAGAGATGGCCATATATTATTTCATTCATTGGGGGGTAGGCAACCGACAGAAGTGACTGGCCAAAAAGAAGGTGTTTAGAATATTCTTTGAGAATAGCAAGTGCAAAAAGCAATCCAAGCGTTGTTTTGACTTGGGCAGTGGCTCTAGCAAGTGTACCCAGTCTGACAAGGACTGCCAGGGTGGGCGGGAACCACCGAAGTTTTTTACCGCGCCTCAGGCTTCTTCCGCCAGCGACGCTCGGCCGCAAGTGCCTCGCCGCTGCCACAAGGAAACCTCGCAGCTGGTGCCTTTGGAGCGACCTTAGCCCGGGAGATCTTTGGGAAACACATTGAGTTTTCCACTAATTTAGTGGAAAACTCATGTTTAAACAAGAAGGTTAGACTTGAATGTTCGGCTCGCCCAGTTAAGTGGTTCACGGTTCGCCACTTTTGGCAGGCTGCATTCCACTGAGCGGGGGACTCATGAGTAGGCTATATGTAACCAACAACTTACCAAGTGGACCGTTTGCTCAGCGGAGAAGAGGAACCCAGTAATTAACCGGGTTCCGATCGCTTGCGCCACAGGTCAATCACGTGTTTGTTTCGCATCTGAATGTAACCCATGTGTTAGAACGCATTGGTTAGAACTGGTCCTTGGAGAGGGTTTTGGGGATGGCTTATTGGAGACATGCCCTACTTCCCGACTGAAGAGCCAGCAAGACCTGAGTACAACTTTTGCAGGAACTGCCTATTGGAGTGCTCCATTTTGGTAGAACCCATGCCAATCTCAGGAGGAATCAAGAGGTTAGAAGGGGGGCGGTTCCCGGCCATAAGTCAAGATGGCAAGATGGCCACTTAATTCGATTGCTCGTCCTAGCTGTTGGGTATTATGTCATTGAGGCCAAGGTTCGGTTCTGACTTAGGCGCCACAATATTTTTCGAGCGTCAGTCTTCGGGGGTTTCGCAGCCGATGGCTTTGAGTCGAGGATGGCGGCGAGAATTAGTTCCCCTTGTATTTATTTTTGCTTTTTTGGGGTCCCCTTTGTTTTCCACTAACCAGGCAAGCATATAGTTTTTTGCTGGGGCCTGAGGTTGGGTCAAATAGCTGTTTAAATTGTGAGGTTGTGTAGGGAAACAAGTAACTTCTCGACCATGGCTCATGCCACTGCATAGCCACTCAAATGGAAATTCTGCCAGTACCTACTTTGAGGGAGCACATGTTGACTCGTATGGGAGTCTCTCAAAATCGGAGAAACTGGACTCTACTTTTGTTGGGTAGACCGTTCCAGGACTTTCTTTGGGCTATCCATTCAAGTGAGTGATGGTGTTTCCTTAAGTCTGTTTCTCACGACAGGGCAGCGAGCCACAACAAAAGGACGGTGGAGACTCATGTTGCCATTCGGCAGGCCCTCTGCACCTGCAGAGAAAGCAGACACGAAGCCCGAGGTAGTGCAGACCTTACGACAGACTTTTCAGACCTCCCTGCCCCAAGAATGAGTGTGGCTGGTTTTGAGGGTACCCTTGTTGGGGGGAGCAAGAGGGAACATACTTTTGGGGTGGTTTTGAAGGGGAACACGAGGGAAGATGTCCCTAGAAAATCAACCAAACTGCCAACAGCAGGTGCTCGGTTCCCATTTTTGTGTCATGGACATTTACTCCATTTGCTCGAGAATATGGTATATGTTTTTGTTTTTTGTTGTTTTTCAAGGGACTCGATCTCTCTACTGCACATTTTCAACTGTGTTTCTCCCCGGGCGAACATGGACTACATGCAGGCACCGGGACCTGTGGCATGAATTTCCATCCGTAGGCGAAAGAGAAAGTGAAAGAGGTGGAGGGGAAGAAGAAGAAGAAGCCGGTGAAGCGTCCAAGCCTCAGAGCTCAAGCGGCTCGTTGCTCCAGCGGGGGGGGGGGCTTTTGGGGGGGTTTGGTGGTGCCCAAGGAGACCTTGGCTGAAATAACTTCCCGGGTGATTTGGAGACGGATCATGTAAACAGCAAGTGATTTTTTTGAATATGTGCCCTGTATGGAGCCCTGTTGATGGAAGCTTGTCTGAAGGATTTCGAAGCCCACTAGCGGCGATAGCTGGGAATCACCAACTTAAGGGTCTGTCTCCTCAACTTGGTTGAACTTCCCCCATGGGCGGTTCCAATTCTGATTGCTGGTTCTAGAAATACTGCAGCGATCTTCAGGAGACAACATATGTGATTTCCTCGCCAATGAGGAATCAATGTTCGGGATGATTGGATGATCCGCACGTGCTTTTTGTTTGGATAGTCTCTACCAGTGGGCCCCAATATCACCTTCTGTTTGCCAATCTCTATATGGCGGGGTTGCTTTTGTTCAGTGGAAATCTAGTAGACTCGCTGTCCGATGTTTGCTTCTGTTTTTCATTTGCTTAGTGGAAGCTGCCACACTCACAAACCGTTTGTAGCATGGTTGATGTTTTTGTGAGGCTACCATGGCGTGCTGTTTTGTCTAGGCACCAAAGAGCAACTCCAGGGGACTCTTTGTGGTCCGCTCCCAACCTGTTCGTGGGGCCCATCGTCCCCAAGTAAAATGGAGGTCAAGAAATCTAAGTGGGTTTGGGTGGAAGTTCATCTTTGCATAGGTGTCCATTTTGCCTATAGCAGACTATAGGCGGCAATTCCTGGTTGACCTGGTTTCATAATCTACCAGGGCCCTCGATTTTGCCAAGAGCCCCCCTCCCACCCGAATGCGCCAGGGGTCCTGGCGGAGGCCAAGCAGGTGGTGGAAGACATCCGCAACGACAGGATCGGCGATTTGACGAGTGGGGCGATTTAACGAGCTTAAGCCAAAGGTCCATTGGTCATCCCTCCCGGTGTAAGTAACCAGAGGAAATCATCATGCAAAAGAAAGTTATTGTAAAAGACATTGGCTACCTATTGTAGTGGTTACTGGGAACAGTGGGCCGTATTTCAGGTTTTTAGGATCTGGGCAATGTTTAAAAAGTGGGAGCGAGCGAAACTTATGAAGGATCATGACTAGACAGTCCTTGTCTTGGGATGCCTTACGTAATTCCACTGGGTGAATCCAAGTTTTCCCAGGTCGGCCTAAAATTTCTCGAGACGAGGTCGTGGCAATCGACAGAAACCTTTCTTGTCTTTTGTTCCCGATGGCCAACGCGGGGGGGGTCCTCAGATAGCCCTCAATTGGTGGGAACTGGGGATTTGACCCCCTGGTTCTTGCAGAGATGAGACCAATGCAAGCCACCAGGGAAGCTAAAGTTCCCTCTTTTTCAGGTGAATCTGCCTTGTTTTCAACATGGCCCGGAGGAGCCTGGTTTATGAGGGTACTGTACCAAACGGAACGTCACTATCTTTGGGGGGGCTCCCTAAAAAGGGACACGGTACGCTTTTTGGGTGGTTTCAAAGGAAAACCACACTGTTGGGGGGGGGGGGTTGACCTATACTAGATATCCAGATAGATGGATACAGGTTTGATTCAGCTTGGTCCATTCAACAGTAACAGGACACATATTTGCCACATACTAATGTATATGTATATAAAAAATGCATATAGTGCGCGTGTGTGTTTGTTCAAAGGCGAGCCCCGCCTTTTTGCATTTCGTAGGCTGGTGAACCCCGGCTGGGACGAGGGCGTGTCAGAGGAGGTGAAAGAGGGGCTGCTGGGTATGCGCAGGCGAGGCCCGGGTGGGGGAAAATGTGTTGCGTCAGGTAAGGCCCCACTTAATGTTGACTCCGGATTTATAAACACTGTTTATTAATATGGGTATGGGTCAAAATTAAACCACCAGTGGACCACAGGTTTTAGTCATTGTTTCCATTTACCAGGGTGCCATTTTGGGTACCTATTCTTGACCCACAGCCATATGGGGGTGTTCCCCTCCAAAAGTGATAAATCCCCACTACAGCCAGGGACACCCCCCCCATAAAAAAGGGGTTTATTCATCCGGGGTCAACATTACCCGAACGGACATACATACCCCAGCTATAAGCCGTGTGTGAGGGTATATAGTGTTTTGGGATGTTTTGGGTATGAACCCTGGATGGCCCATGTGAACCTCCGTACCCTATTTGCAACCCCCGATTTTGAGGTCGGATCTTAAAAGAGCAGCGGGTGGTTTCGCTTTAGTTTTCCTTCAATTTTGACCCAGCATTAATGAACACCTGCTTGATCTTGACGAGTTTGGACGGAATCGTTCACATTGGTTCCGACTAGTAGTCCAC